CTCCAGAATTAACATTTATATCATCCGAATTGTGATTATATCGAATAAACACATATATGAAGCCTTGGAGAATGTATTTTTCCCTCATTTGCTAAAGATAAATACTCTTTAAGTTTATCATCTGTTGTGATTACAAGTGAAAATTATTTTTAACCCCTTCCGAGGATTTCTTGTTTCATTAGAGACTTCATGGTGCATCAGAATATTAGCTAATTATTTGAACTGTGTATATGAATTTGCCAGATGTTTATCCACACAGATGAATTTTGGATCAGAATTTTAATTTAGAGACTTAATTACCTGATTCTGCTGTTTTTAGCAATTAAATTAACTAAAAATAATTGCAAGCAGTATGGTAGATTTGCTGTTGCAATTTGTCCTATAGACCATAATGGTATTTTAATTTGATTTTTTAAGTGAGTAGTTAAATAGTCTTTCTCTTTACTCTGTTTCCATAACCTGCATAACCATGTTGGTAGGAGCCTACCAACACATTGTAGATAAAGTTATCTTAAATTTTGGAAATCACCTAAGCATATTTTGAGTCATCTGGTGAAAAGCAACAAAAATAATGCATTGATTGTTAACAGGCCTTCAGCTTTTCTTAGTGAGACTTAATTTGCAAGGAAGAAACAGGCTAATATGACAATCAGAATAGCATTGACTGCTAAATCTCAAGTTTATATAAATAATTTACATAATAAACATTCTTGTTCTTCTCTTTCTCATTAAATTTATGCATTTCTTTTCAGCTTATTAAATGAATGTGCTGGCTAAACAGCTTATTTTTTAAAACAAAATAGAAATTAATTGTTTCAATAAAAGTTGCATTAAAAAAATACCATCTGAGATAAATTAGTGTAAAAACATTCAATCTTCTATTATTTGGATTTTCTTTCAGTGCTGCAGGTGGAGAAATTTTCAACTTATGTTTACCTGACCTAGTTGAAATAGTCTCTGAAAATGATATCATCAAACTTATTAGACAAATATTGGAAGGAGTTTCTTATCTACATCAAAACAATATCGTGCACCTTGATTTGAAGGTAATATTACATGTGACCTTTTTTTTTTACATGTGACTTGTTATGTGCAGTGTTTCTTTTCCTGTCTAGCCCTCAGTTAGCAAGGTCAAAGAAGATGTTGGCATCCTACAATTTCAATAGGCTTGTTTGTATGTTCATATGAGGCCCTCGAGTTAACCATAAGATTATAAAAAATAACACTATATGTTATACTCCTTCTTGTAAGAACATTAAAGTCCCACAGATTTATGTTAATTCATGGATTAGCTGATCTGAATTAGTGAAAAGTCTTAATTTTTCCTTACCTAACTGCTAATAGTGTTTTAAATAAAAGTATGTTCCATCCTTATGTGATGAGTAAATATCTGCAATTCTGTTCTCATCATATAGTCTAAATTCCTTTAAAAATTTTAAGTTGGGGTGGGGCAGCTAGGTGGCACAGTAGATAGAGTACCAGCCCTAGAGTCAGGAGGACCTGAGTTCAAATGTGGCCTCAGACACATAACACTTACTAGCTGTGTGACTCAGGGCAAATCACTTAACCCCACTTGCCTTACCAAAAAAAAATTATATTGGTTGAAAAACTCCTCTGAAATATTTGATAAACTTAATTTGCCAAACAAATCATTTCTTCATAGTCCAACCTCAGCCCATGGGACATTATCACAAACTTCCAAGTTAGTGGAGGCTAGAGTACAGTAATACTCTACTTCTAGAAGTCATTTAGCCATCTACCTCAGTTATCTAGAACATAATTGAAAACAGAGAAATGAGCAAAAAAAATCCTGTGAACATGAAAAATGGTTCTTACAAAGCTCACAAACTCAATTCATTCAGTTTTCTCAGAAAAGGAGATCTTCTCTCAGAATCTAATTATTCTTTAGACACAAATCAAACCAATTTGATTATGTGGTTACCCATCTCATAGCAACAGATTCAAGAAAGAATTAAATAAATCCTATATGTCCTAAGGGGCAACAGTGGATAGAGTGCAGGGCCTGGAGTCAGGAAGACCTGAGTTCAAATGTGGCCTCAGACAGTTAGTAGCTGTGTGACCCTGGGCAACTCACTTAACCCTGTTTGCCTCAGTTTCCTTATCTGTAAAATGAGCTGGAGAAGGAAATGGCAAACCATTCTGGTATCTTTTCCAAGAAAATCTAAATGAGGTCATGAAGAGTCAGACATGACTGAACAACAAAAATATGTTTTAAATGGTAAGGGAAATAATTAAGAAACAGTACATGTCCTTAAAGAGCCCTTGTATCTGATTGAGAAAAGGACATGCATGATAGTACCATGTAATACCTAGGATCTTTGATTTTGCCAGTGTGGGTATTCCATCTACCAGTAGAGATGATAACAACAATAGTTAACATTTATATAGCACATTCCCTATATTATATCATTTTGTCCTCACAACCCTTTGAGGTATGTGCTGTTTTCTCCATTTTACAGATGAGGAGACTGAAGCTGAGAAAGGTTAAGTGAATTGTCCAAGTCACACAGCTTTTAAGTGTCTATAGCAAGATTTGAATTCAGGTTTTCCTGACAAGTGTAGCACCTACTATGAATATTATAACTCCTTTTAGTAGACAGTCTTGTTGAGTCATAGCTAAAAAAAAATCCATTCTCCCCTGTGACCATCCTGGTAACGTACCTCTCTAAATTTAGACAGGCTGCTCCTTAAATGACAAAAATATAGTCCTGGGGCCTCTGCTTGATGCCTTTACAACTTTGCTAGGACGTGTGAGATTGTGAACTCCACTGACACAGGCTTCCTGAACCCATGCCATGATCAGGAATCTTAGAAAATTTTGGTGAGGCTTTCCTTGTGTGTACAAAAAAAAAATGTTTATAATAACAAGATGGATAAACAAGTAACTGTGCTATTTCTGAAGAAAGGTATTACTTCTGGTGGAAGGACCATTAGAAGACTTTTGGAATAAGTAGTTTTGGGCTGGACCTGGAAGGATAGGTAACATTTCTATAAGCAGGGATTGGGGGTAAAAAGTACATGGTATGAGCAAAGGTTCTGAAGCAATGTCCTGAGAGTATTCAGGGAATAAAACAGCAAGTAGTCAGATTTGACTGGAGTATGTGAAAGGTGTTACTTTAAGATAAAGCAGAAAGGGTCTCTTTGAAGAAAGATAGTGGTTATCACAACAGATTAGATGCAACAGATTAAGGGGATGATGAGCTAATAGAGCTGGACATTCTGAAGACCTGGCAGGGAGAAGACAGAAAAATTATAAAAAGCACCCACTGAAAAAAAATAGCTCTTTGCAACTGGACAATTCAGCATAGAAAGACATAGGTGCCTTTATAGCCCCTGAGGAAGGCAAAGTATAGGATAGTGAAATAATTGCTATTCCTCATGATGACCCTGAATCATCAGAAAAAGGCTGTATGTAACCCACATTTATTTTTTCATAGCAAGGTTCTTTTATGTTTAAAAATGTGTTACATTTTGTTTTGGCTCAGCAGACACTTCCCAACAGACACCCAAACAATCTTCCCTCCACCTTGAGTTTTGAAATCTACATTAAGAAAACTTGCAATTAAAGTAGTTGTGATCAACTTTGGCATTTAAATAGTGTGATATTTTTTATGTCTGTAAAACATTGAAGATCATGAATTATATAATTATGAACTTCAAAAAGCGAACATAAAAGAAGCAGCATGGCATAAGAGAGCGGGCTTCAGAAGGCCTCTGGGGTAAATTCTATCCTTAGCACTTACTGGTTATTTCACCTTGAGTAACCTCATAGTCCCCCAGGCAATCAGTTCTCTAACAACATTTTCAGAGCAGGTCCTGATTTGACCTGTCTTCTTCGTAGAAGTTTTGTTGTTGTTCAGTCATGTCCAACTCTTTATAACCCAATAGATCATAGCATGCCCAAGCTGTCCATAGGATTTTCTTGGCAAAGATATTGAAGTTGTTTACCATTTCCTTTCCAGTGGGTTAAGGCAAGCAGAGATTAAGTGATTTGCCCAGGGTCACCCACCTAATGAGTCTGAGGCTGGATTTGAACTTGGGTCTTCTTGACTTCAGGCCCAGCACTCTATCCACTGAGTCATCTACAATAGTTTCCTACATCTGTAAAATTGCAGGTCCAGTCAAAAAACAAAAACAAAACCTACAAATGATTTGAATCTGAAAGATTTAGTGTTGCAATTTTCCTTTATAGAAAGTATTTGTAATGAAACCTGACCTTTAACTATGAACTATAAATTTAGGTATGTAGATATAATATGTCCATTTTGCCTCACATTTCAATGATTTCAAAATAATTGAAACTGAATGAATTCAAATTTGATTTGTTTCTTGTCTGAAATTAGCGTTGCAGTTTTAACAAAGAAGAAGCTATTTCATTGTACATTAATAATCTTCGTATTTTCTTTTGTGCAGCCTCAGAATATCTTATTAAGCAGCATTTCTCCACTTGGAGACATAAAAATTGTAGATTTTGGAATGTCTCGGAAAATAGGGAATGCATGTGAACTGAGAGAAATAATGGGAACTCCTGAATATCTAGGTAAGAATTTTCCTTTTACTTTCTATAGCCAAATTAAATTAAAAAAAGAAGAAGAAATAGATCATTAGTAGTGTAGAGAAAATTATTTGGGACATCTATTTCCAGTATATATTAACTCAGTATATTTTTGGTGGGATCCATGAGTCTTCCTTGATGCTGACTGAGGTTTTGTACCGTGAGTCAGTACCATGAGCCACCTGACCAGCAACAGATCACAGATTGATCTGGGACTTATTGATATTGAGCTGGTTAGCAGAAGGAAAACTCACTGAGAGTCTTTGAGGAGAGACCCAAAGAAGAGACCCAAAGGGTGGGTCTGTCTAACAGAGAGGAAGAATTCAACACCAGCTGTTCAACCCAAGGTCTGAAGTAATTGGCAGCCAAAAAGTGCTGGGATCTGAAAGTGAGACAAAATCAACAGTGCACACTAACAAAACTAGTTACAGGTAAAAAGTAGAGTCCAACTGTAGCAAATGACTTACCTTAAGCTCTTTCAGGTTTTGAAATTGTAGAGTTCAAGGCTGGTGAGACCCACCAAATCTCTCTGAGGAGTAGCTGGGGAGGGCTGAATGGAAGGAAGGCAGCTGTTTTGAAAAGGGTTTGGTGCTAATGGACCACTGTTTCCTAACACCTTCAACAGAAGTTCCTTATTTTCCCTTTGGCCATTGCTTAAAAGCATACAATACTGTACAGAAAAGGGGTGCTAAAGTGATAGTGACAAAAGGAACCCATTGGAATTAAAAAATATTGTGCCGAAATTATTTGTGGGATAACAAATGTGAAAAATAGTATAGAATTTTCCATTTTTGTTCAGATTTACTCTCCAAGCACTTAGTCTGGACTAGTGAAATTTTACCACTCAACCAAGAGCCATTCTAAAAGTATTAGTGTGCTTTGGACCTCTGAGCAATTATTCATTGACAAATATTTTTAATGATCAGCCAGTTGCACACTTGACACTGCTCTCAATGCAAAACCAAATAATCTCATAAGTTCCCAGTCTTTCCAAAATCAAAAACAAACATGAAAAGCTACTTAAATAAAAAAGTAATTTAAACATGGTGTGTAATTTGACTTCTACTTTTCAGCTCCAGAAGTATTGAACTATGATCCTATCACCACGGCAACAGACATGTGGTAAGATTTTTTAGTTATCTTCATATTTTTCCATCTTCACCATTTTAACATTTTTTCTATAGTAACCTTTTTAATTGCAAGTTTTCTAATGTGGATTACATAATTTAGGATTGAAAGGGAATTGTATGGGTGTCTGTTGGGAAGTGTCAAAACTAATTGTGATTAGCTGCACTAGATATTGGAGAGTCATTTGCTACACAAGAGTTTTAAAATTATTCTACTTAACACTTGAGTCAGCCACATTAAACACTGAAAAAATTTCCCGTTATTATACAATTTTTATCATTTTATTATTTTATGACAGCAAACTTAAATCATAAATACAGAACATACACTGTGGAGATAGAAGGCACCCCCGTTTTCACCTATCTACTCAGTTCCACCTTATACTCACCGTGTTCAAAATTGAAGCCATCTTCCCCCAAACTTTTCCCTCTTCTAACTTTCTTATTTCTATTGATGGTACTGCCATTGTTTTCAGTCAGTCAGGCTCAAAACCTCAAAGTCATATCCCTCCTCCAAACCCCCACACTTAATCAGCTGCTAAGTCCCTTAAAATATCACTTCTACCCTTCTCTTTTTCTCGCACTTTGCCAATGCTCTCAAATAGTACCTCAGTATGTCTTACCTAAATTATTGTAATGACCCTCTCAGTAGCATCCCTATATATAGTCTCTCCCGTCCAGGACATCCTCCCCATCATTCACATTGCTATCACAGTAATTTTCTAATGGAGAAATCTAATCATGTTACTCTGCTGTTCAAATTCCTTTGGTAGGTCCCTATTATCTCCAGAATAAGCGACTACTTAGCCTGGAATTCAAGGCCCTCCACATCTGGCTCTAATTTATATTTCCAGTCTTTTTTCATATTATTCCCCTTCATGCACTATATGTTAACATTAAACTAGACTACTAGCCACTACCTGATCCTGTACTGACTTCTTCTTGCCTCCATGCATGTAGTAACCATGGTGTAGAAGTGAATTTGTCAGAATAGTAGCTACAAAGTGTTGTGCAAAGGCAGATGGAAAAAAAGATAATTTCTGACTAGGTAATCAGAGTCAGCTGGAGGGGAAGGTGGCATCTGAGTGGGGCTTTGAAACATTCAAGGTTTTAAAAAACAAGAGGAAAGGGGTTAGGGTAGGAAATTTGCAAGCCTAGGTAAATGGTATGAATAAAGTCACAGAACTAGGAAAGCACTAAACATGTACAGAAGATGGTAAATGGTATATTTTAGCTGGACCATAGCATGGAAGGGGGAAGTAGTGTAGGCTAAGGCTGGAAACATGACTCATTGGCTGATAGCTTATGACTAGAAAAAACTGCTAATGTTGTAGCTGGACCTTGAGCCCCAGGTTTCTTGACTATAGATCCAGGCCTCGTAGGGAGAGTCAATAGGTCACACAGGGCCCTGAATGACAAACTGAGGAATTCTTTCTTTTCTGATTCTTTTTCAGGAATGTTGGCATAATTGCATACATGTTATTAATGCATACATCTCCATTTGTGGGAGAAGACAATCAAGAAACATACCTCAATATTTCTCAAGTCAATGTGGATTACTCTGAAGAAATGTTTTCATCAGTCTCACAGCTGGCCAAAGACTTTATTCAGTGTCTTTTAGTAAAAAACCCAGAGTAAGTAATATAAAATAT